GGGCGCACAGAGGGAGGGGCTACACCCCGCGACGAGCTTTGCCCGGGTGCTCCCTCGCTCTCGTGTCCGGCCCTCGCCCTTGGTCTGGAGCCCGACCAAGACTGTGGACGCCTACAGGGGAGGGCGCCCACACTCAACCGCACCCCGCCGGATGTGCACCCCACTTTACCAGCTCGGGTTTGGGGCTACGGGAGTTCCAGAAGGTGGCTACCAGCTTTCCTGTGACCCTTGACCTTCCCGAGCTTTGGTTGCGTGCGGTTTATGACTGTGGATGGAGTTGGGTCTGCCCTTGTTCTCTGCAGCCTCTTGTCCCGAGATGTGTGAGTAGAGAGTAGGAAATGTGTTTGTGTGTGTATGTGTGTGCGTGCAGGGAGTTCGACGCCTGCACTACTGGAACACGTGTCTCTGGGATTTAAGTTGGTCCCATTGAGAAGAGTCTACCGGTGTTGTTGGCTACGCACCCTGGCCGCCCCTTGCCTGCCCGGTGCTCAGGAATGGAGCCCCCTCTCCCTGGGGACTCATTTTTGGTCGTGAGTGGGAGTGATCAGCTCCATCGGAGCCTGCACCCTGCCCCTGGAACACAGGAAGAAGTTGGTGCCTGCTGGCACTTGGGCCTTCCTTCCCTGGTTGTGAAAGTAAACACAGGGCCCCACTTCAGCCAGCTCAGTGATTGGTGGAGCACCTTCCTTTCAGGGAGCCTCCCTGGCAGCGTCAGAATGAAGCCCAGACTCCTCCGCAGCCCGGTGTGCCCTTCTGCCCCCTCCCTCAGCTGTCCCCAAGCTTTGTGTGTCAGTTTGAGGATTTCTAATGTCTGGGGATTAGGCCTTTGGAAACCGGGCCACCAGGTGATTTTCTCCTTCCTTCTCCTTTGGCTTTTCATTGTAGGCCACTCTTAGATGAAGATTTTCTTGCTATACATGGCCCTACATTTTTGTGCCCCACTAATTGGGCCACCTAATGTGATCTTCAGTTCCTTTTGTAAAGCAGGTTTGAAAATGTGTGTGGGTGCTACGTACTGCTGCAGGTGCCCAGGACTTCCTTAGCAGATGTAAACTCTGCTTAAGTCTTAGAACCCATGCTGGACCTGCAGCATTTATTGACCTGATTTTATTTTATTTATTTTTATTTTTTTGGTATCAGAGATCAAACTTGGGACCTTACTCTTGTGAGGCATACTGAATTCCCAGCCCTCTGACCTGATCTTGATCTCACCTCAGAAGCCTCATTCAGTATTCCTGGAGGTTTGTGGCTGCCTCCAGGAAGAAAGGGATGGAGGGTTAGAAGACCCCCCTCCCCACTTCCTAGCAGGGCAGCTGTGCTAGTCTCAGGACAGGTGAAGGCTCCTCCCTTTACATGTTTGGGGAGCAGGAGGGCAAGCTCAGGCCTTTCTGTGGGAGGAGCAGGGCCTGCCCTGCAAGTTTGGGCAGTGACATCCCCTAGGAGGCCAGGGCACAGGGAAGCTCTGGGTTTTGGAATTCTTTCCTGAGGCCTCATTCTAGGCCAATGTGTATATGCTCAGGGATTGACCTGTTCAACTTCAGCTTTGGCATTGCCTATCAAGTACCATTGTTCCAGGCCTGGGAATCCAGTGGAGGTTCTGGACAAGCTTACAGAAATTATGTGGAAATTTACTAGCATAGTAATGGTGAGTTTATTAAGGCTTAGTATTTACAGAGACTTAGACTAAGAAGTACTCAAGTTTTACTTGTATTTAGCTTATTTAATCCTTTCTACTGTTTTGGACTGGGGATTTAGCTCAGTGGTGCTGCCACTTGCCTGGCAAGAGTAAGGCCCTGAGTTCAGTCCCTGGTATCAAAAAAACCCCCCCCCCCCAAAAAAAAAAAACAAAACAAACAGTGTGCTACATGATAATAGACCCATTTTACAGATAAGGAAACTGTGGGGCCCAGAAAGGTCACAGAGTGACTTGTTTGAGGTTTCAGTATGAGGTGGATTTCCTCATTTCTAATTTAGACAGTGCTTTCCTCTTGAGATCATTAAAATTGATTAATATTCTGAACAAGCCTGGCTCACAGGAGAGCTACTCAGTCTTTGCAGCACAGGTGCCCTTCTGGAAGCATCTCTGTCTAGTACAGGTTGGGCTCAAAAGTGGGTCCCCCTGATTCCCTTCTGCTGAACTGGTGATATAATTTCTGTTGTTTAAGGCCAAGTAATGGGAGGAGAGGTTGGGGAGACATTGCCTATATCTGGATTTGAACATCTTTTCAGAGGCTTACAGCAGCAAAGGTTTATTGCTTGTTCACTACACATACCACATTGCATACCTGCTTTATATTGTCCCTACTGTTGGACCCACACTGATTCATTGGAACATTTCTGGTCACTTGGTCAGAGGGACAGAAAGCAGGATGAGTCTTACCTGGCTTTTAAAGCTTCAACCTGGAAGTAGCATTTCATTGGCCAAAACAAGTCACATGGCCATCCTTACACAAGTAGGGAGGGGAAGAGGATCAGAAGCATGTGTTGAATCACATCAGTGCGTAACACTTGCGTACTGCTCTGTTCTCCTCTGTGGCTTTTACCCAAGTTATAGGTCCTAATGTCATTGTGTGTTGCCAGGAACACTGCATATGGGTTAATTAAAGTGGATTGTGATACATTTGGAAGGCAGAGATGTGGTAAGAAGAATGAATTTTGGAGTAGTAAGAGGTGGTTTGCAAAATCAGCTTGCTTCTGTGTCCTCTGGTTTTGGGTTTACAGTTTCTTGAGTTCTTTGGTTCTCATTTTGCTGATTTATTCATTCATTTGTAAGCCTAGTGGCTCTTGATGGGTTGTAGGTAAGGACTTCTTACTTAGCACATGCTCAGCTCCAAGCCCAGCCAGCCAGATACTATGAACAGGAGTGCTGATCTCCATTTCCTGCTACTGTGTCCTAGTGGCCATTCAAGAGAAATATTAGTGCCCACGGGAAAGCAAGCAGGTTCTTTTTCCACTCTCTGCTCACGCTTCTGATCCTTGGACATTTTGCATTCCCTATCCCTACCTGGATGTGGCTAATAGGGTCAGTCACCTGGCCTAGAAGTGGGAGTCAGTAGAAGTACTTCTAATGGCCATGCCTTCCCCATTTCCTCTGTGGGCCTGAGACTGAGCTTGCTCACCTAGCGTTACCAGTAAGGTGACTCAAGGGTGACTCCCACTGGAACAGGACTGAATGTGGGCCTGCAGTGGAAGGGAGTAGAAACCTGTGAACTGCATTCCTCTCGTTGGCACTATGGCAGAATGTTAAAGAGAAAGCACCCTGTGGTTCTTGCTTTTGAATATCTGTCAGCTGTTGGTTTCTGATGATAGCCAGCAGGGCCAGGAGATCCTAGTGGAGGTGGGGAGACTTCAGGTTCTTTTGCTACTTGGTTAACTCTGCCCTTAGGTGTACAGTATTTCATCCTCTTTCAAAGTCCCTGGTTACTACACCTGAATGGAGGGAGAGGTGGTGGTGGTCTCCAAGGTTCCCATTCTTAGGTGGTCATTGGTACTCCTAGGGAGCTGTGTAGATCAGCATTTTGAGACTGTTTGCCCTAGATGAATGCCAGCATTTTTGTTGTTGTTTGGCCTTATCTTTCATTAGGGCAGTATCTTCTCTGACTGTGAACTGGAGTAGGGCTTCATAATGAGTCTCCTCATCCATTTCCTCCCTCAACAGTGAATGTTTTTAATTCGGACAGAGAAGTGGCTGCTCTGGTTTTGGCACAGGACCTGGCCAGTAGGCAGTATTTGGTGCCTCAGCCCTTTTAGTGTGAATGTGGGCTAGCACTGGTCCAGCTTGCAGGGCGCGAAGTGGGCAGCCAGCTTTTTAATTATGTCCACTTTTGTTTTTGAGACTGGGTCTTGTTATGTTGCCCAGGATAGGCTCAAGTATCCTCTTGTCTCTGCTTTCCAATAGCTGACTGTACAGATAGGTATATGCCACCACTCAGTGACTTATGTCTACTCTCCAGTTTGTGACCTAGACCAAAGGGTCACATTTTCTCATCTGTAAAATGAGCAGAATCAAGACTACTCTTCCTGTCTCAGTTGCTATAGCATGAGAACATACTTCAAGTTTCAGAAGCAAGGTTTGAGATCCTTGAGTTAGGCCATCTGTCTGGTGGCTCTCAGCAAAGTGCTTATTGCAGCTACTCTGGGAACCCCACTTCCTCCATCCTCTGGCCTGGTGCAGTTGGGTGGGGCTGGGTGGGGCTGTGCTTTTTTCTTAGGAGGCAGCTAGCCTGGTAATAAGAACTTTGGTGGGCCTGGGCAGGCTGGAGCCAAATCTTCACCTCCTAGAGTCTGTTCTGTCTCTTGTGTGGCCAGGTCAAAGCCCTGGATCCCATGTCCATCAGCTAGAGGGCTGGAGGGATGGACTCCTCCTTTATCAGGCTCTGCCAGCCGAAAGTGGGTGGCTGACAACCATGGCACTTCTCTAAAGTGGCTGATGACATTCTGGTAGGAGGTGAGCTTCTAGCGCCACCTCTGACTCTGTCCTGTGGCAGGTAGTAGATCTGTGGGTGCCTGTTCTGCAGGCATAAGTCCTGGGGAGGGGCCAGGCCAGGGGCTGATGCTCTGTCTCCTGGGTTTTCCCTGAATATGTGTGCCAGCTGTGCTCATGTATGCTGTGCATGTACGCTGTGGGGCCTGGAGAGTACTAAAAAAGGCTCTGAGGAATTCTGAGCACTCCCTTACAGCAGCTGGAAAAATGAGTGCCCCTGAATAGTGGTGATCCTGGGACAGGCGAGGGCAGCAGTAGGACCAAAGACACATTTGGGAGGCAGAATCTTGCACTTAAAGCATCAGAAGGTGTGAACAGCTGTTGGTTTCAGATGTGGGTCTCCTGGGGAGAAGAGGGAGGACTTCATAAACCTGCTGCAGTGAGTGTTTCAGGCTGCGATGGGACTCTGAGCAGCAGGAGGGTGTTTTGTCCCTAACCTGGGGTGCAGGGGTGGCACTCAGCTATGCTCCAGTCCCTACTCCTTCCTTGCTCCCAGACTGGCTGCTCTGAGGAGAGTCTGTAGTTGCCTGCTAAGACACCGCTGCCTCTTCTCCCTGACCTCTCTGGTCTCTGGCCAGTCTGTGGGTTAGCAGTCTGGTTCAGCCCTTCACTCCTGGTTCTGATGCTAAGGGTTGGAGGGGAAGACCAGCCCCAGCCCAAGTGTGGGTGACACTTTTGGTGAGTGGTGAAAGCAATAGGTTTAGGAAGACTTGGGGAGCT